CAAAGACAATTTTTAATATAACTCCGACTGGATTCGTCTGAAAGAAGAAAATCATATACACCTAGGATGCCTTGAGTGTGAGTAATTCATGGGCTAATTGTCATTTTTGAGTAAACTAACCCTTTAACAAATTTATTAGACAACCTGTCATAATACAGAGAGAAAACAAATGTTTTAGGAATCTGTCAAAAACTTTTTTTAAACTAAATTTTGTATTGTCATTCATTAGGAAAATAACAAACTGAGACAACTAAAGTGTCTTTATTCACACATAACAAAAAAACGGATATATTTTATTTTGTATGGCCTCAGTTGTCCTTGATAACAGCTTGCATTCTTGCTGGCATTGTTTTTATATACTTTTCTGGTCTCTGTTGTTATTGACTTCCAAATAGTTTCTAGTTATATATACAGTTGTGGTAAAAATTTTACATACACTTTGTAGTATCTGCAAAATGTTAATTATTTTAACAAAAGAGGGATCATGCAAAATGCATGTTATTTTTTAACCTGAATACTGACATGAATAAGATATTTCACATAAAAGATGTTTACATACAGTCCACAAGAGAAATTAATAGTTGAATTTATAAAAATGACCCAGTTCACAAGTTTACATGCGCTTGATTTTTAATACTGTGTTGTTACGTGGATGATCCACACCTTTTTTTTTTTTGAGATTTGTTCACGAGTCCCTTGTTTGTCCTGAACAGTTAAACTGCCCGCTGTTCTTCAGAAAAATCCTTCAGGTCTGACAAATTCTTTGGTTTTCCAGCATTTTTTGTGTATTTGAACCCTTTCCAACAATGATTGGTTTTGAGATCCATCTTTTCACTCTTGAGGACAAATGAGGGACTCATACGCAACTGTTACAAAAGGTTCAAACGCTCACTGATGCTTCAGAAGGAAAAATGATGCATTAAGAGCCAGAGGTGTAAACTTTTGAACAGAATGAAGATGTGTACATTTTTCTTATTTTGCCTAAATATCTTTTTTCCCATTTAGTACTGCCCTTCAGAAGCTACAGAAGATACTTACATGTTTCCCAGAAGACAAAATAAGTTCTATTTACTCTGATCTTCAGATTCAAAATGTTGCATCTTAATGATCTTAATGCATCGTGTTTCCTTCTGGAGCATCAGTGAGCATTTGAACCTTTTGTAATAGTTGCGTATGAGTCCCTCAGTTGTCCTCAGTGTGAAAAGATGGATTTCAAAATCATATAGTCATTGTAGGAAAGGGTTCAAATAACCAAAGAATTTGAAAAAAACAAAACAAAGAATTTGGGACCCAAAGGATTTTTCTGAAGAACAGCAAACTGCTGTGGATCATCCAGGTAACAACACAGTATTAAGAATCAAACGTATGCAAACTTTTGAACGGGGTAATTTTTATTTATTAGTTTCTCTTGTGGACTATATGGAAACGTCTTTTGTGAAATATGTTGTTCAGGTCAGTACTAAATAAAAAATAACATGCATTGTGTATGTATATGTGGGTGTGTGTGTGTGTGTGTATATACAGCTCCATCTTGTTAAATTACTTATGATGCCACTATGTTATGCTTTTGCTGAAGCTGCTTTTTTATGTCTGACAGGCTTTGCAGTGTTGTGTTGCTGGGATAAAGCCTCTGACAGGAAGTTGGACAGGCGAATGCGCTATTGCTGTTAGGCAGTTAATTGCTGGAAAGAGTCTCACCTTCACAGTGTTGGATATCATGAATGATGGAGCTCTGCTTGCGGTAGATGTTCCTCTAAGCACTCTTGGTAGGGCATTTATGGTTCATTGCAGTGGCTGTTTGGAGAGCTTTGTGTGAAACACAAGATTTTCAATCTAAATTTGTTCCACAGGTAAATACATGAGCACTTTCCTGATAGAGCAGGGCTATGCCGTAAAGGAGGACGTTTCTGTCAAACCACAGACTGAACATGACATCAGTGAGTTGCTTCATTATCTTGTCTTTTTCATTAAATGTTTCACGCCATTCTTTACGTTTTTTTAACCTCCATCCATTTGCATCTATCTTCAGATTCATTGATGACAGCATCCTTTGAGAACTTCAAGCGCTTGTCTGGAGGAAAGAATGAGAACTCTGAAGCCAGGCCTCCAGAACCGTTGACTCAAGGATTGGGTGACACATTCACTGCTATTGTCACCCACCTCCAGTCTCCCTCAGAGATCCTCTGTCAGAAGCTTGAAAATGCGAGTGAGTTTTCTTCTACTCAGTTTAAGTTTATCTCAATGTCATTATTACTTTTTAATGTACTTTTTAAATTATTTTGTAATAATTTACATTATTACAAATAAATGTAGCTTAAATGCAAGCATTTTTTATAACACCTAAAGACCCCAGACTTTTCAGTGGTAATTTATGTGTAGGTGTTATAAAAAATGTTTGCATTTAAGCTACATTTATTTGATCAAAACCACAGTAAAAACAACAATAAACTGTCAATGTAATACAATTGTAAAAAACGTTTTTTTCTTCTAATAAACATTTAAAAAAACAACAACTTTTTTTTTCCTGTGATGGCAAAGCTGAATTTTCAGCTTCATTCTCAAATGATCCTTCAGAAATCATTCAAATATGCTGATTTGGTGCTCATTGGTGAATCATTTCCTATTATCCATGTTAAGACAGTTGTGCTGATTAATATTTGTGGAGACTATTACATTTTTTTTAAATTAGAACATCATTTATTTGAAATAGAAATCTCCTGTAACATTATAAATGTATTTTGCTGTCACTTTTGATCAATTTAATGCATCCTTGCTCAAATAAATGTTAATTTATTTAATAAAAAACCTGAGCTCAGACTTTCAGAAAAAGTTCTTAAGCTTTATTGCTACAGTGTTTTAGCATCATCTGTTGTCATTTTCTGCCTTTTTATAAAATATATGCTGTACTTTCAGTAGGTTCAGTGCAATGTATGATGTAATCTTCATGCATTTAGGTGTAATCCAGCAGTTGCAAGTGAACTTAAGGGAGCACTGCTCAAAAACTCCGGCAAGTGAGAACTTCAGACCTGCACCAGGAACTGTCTGCTGCTCACTCTTCTCTGGTCAGTCCAGTGTCTTCAGTATATAACATTTTTTTTTTTTTTTTTTTCATTTTTCCTTTTCTTTTGATTGATGTACAAATGTCCATAGTGCTCCTTCACACACATAGTGCTGTTGAATTGTTTAAAAAAGGCACCATAAAAGTGATGTCTTCTGAAGTGATTTCCATGTGTTACAGAGGACAACCAGTGGTATAGAGCTAAAGTTCTAGCATATTCCTCGGAAGATCGTGTGTGTGTTGGCTACATAGACTTTGGAAACTCTGAGGAGGTTGAGTTATATCGCCTACGACCAATCAGCAAAGAGTTGCTGGCTTTGGCAACTCAAGCAATCCCTTGTTCTTTATCAGGTACAGTACAATTATTCATTCTCTGATTTTTAATTGGCTCAGCATATACAGATTTGCATGCATGCAGACCTGTTCTGGAACAGTGTTGTAAATACAACTTAACCACTGATTTCTAGTCGGGCCCTGTTTTGGAAGGCCAAACAAAGTAGTTTAGCTTTTACAACGAAACACATGGCGGCTCGAGTGAGCGGCGGCCGGCAGGCTAGAGAAAACCACATGTGACCACCCCGGGCTGGACTCCGCTTCGTCCACGGTGAAAGCCGATCCGGCGATCCACAGCACGAAGTTGATGTATTTCCTCAGCGACCAGCACGGATCAGCTCCAGGCATGACGAAGCAGATATCGTCCTCTTTTGGAAGGCCAAACAAAGTAGTTTCGCTTTCACAACGAAACACAGCGCCTTCACGACATGAAGCAACAATACTACAGCGGCAGCAACAATACTACAGCGAGAATAAAAGTTACGCCTTCTTTGCGTGAACATTTGGGCGGCGTTATGCAAATCTTCCCACATCGTGACAGATATGTGGGGGAGTGTTAGAACGAGCCATTTTAGGTAGGCGTGGTTGACTCTTAACTTTTATAAAGAATATCTCTTTGCAACTTCTTTGCAACTTTACAGATCTTCTTTATGCACCAAGAGCTTGTAACACTCCAAAGAGAAAGGAAAAATTGAAATTGCATCATATGACCCCCTTTAACATTCAATTTGCTCTAGGTATAAAGTCTCCAACGGGCACCTGGCCAGAGGAGGCCATTTTGATGGTGAAACGTCTGGTTTGCAACCGCTTCATACGGGTTGAGATTCTGGGTAAGAAGGATGGTAGGGCTCTGGTGTCCATGATTGATGAGTCTAGTGACCCTCAGACCAATGCCGCTGAGGTGTTGATTAACATGGGTTATGTTGCCATTGAAAGTGTGGAGACAGAGAAAAATGAACCGACTCAAGCCTCCTTACCTGAAATGCCTTGTAAGTGAAGAAACCTTTTGTACTGATTTATTTTACCATTTCTGATAATTTTTGAAAGGATAATTGATATATATTTTCTAATTTTACTCTAGCCCTCAGTCCACCTGTTGTTGAGAAAATGGAGTGGACTTGTGCTGAACTTCCCTATGATGGCCAGAAGGTGGGGCTAGTAATCAGTAGTCTGAAGAGCCTTGATGAATTCTACTGTTATAACTACAGCAAAGCAGGTGCGATTGTCCATCAGTGTTATTTTTTCTACTTTGTGGGACTCATTACGTTTACGTTTGTGATGAAGTATTTTGTTATTTCTGGCAGATGCACATATCCTGACAGAGCTGTCCTATGAGCTCATGAAGCATTGTGAATTGGAGAGAGCTTCCTTTACCCCCACTGTGGGAGAACCGTGTTGTGCTCTCTTCACAGGTGATACTGACTCATCCTTCAGAAGCAAACACCATGGTCACAGTAACACACTTACAATGAAAGTAAACGGAAAAAGGACACTTTTTTCCTTTATTGAATCAAACTGATATTTTTTCAGGATTCTTTGATAAATAGACAGTTCAAAAGAACAGCATTTATTTGAAATGGAAATCTTTTGTAACACAATACTGTAGAAGACTTTACTGTCAGTTTTGATCAGATTGATGCATCCTTCCTAAATTCAAGTATTAAAAACTGTCATAAACTATTGTACAGATTTGATTTCCAATATTGTTTTGCTCCCTGTTTGAAGGAGATGCCCGCTGGTACAGGGCCATGGTATTAGAAGTGTGTGGAGAGGGTAAGGCCAGAGTTTATTTTGTGGACTATGGGAACTCTTGTGAGGTGGAGGCAGCACATCTAAAGGCCATCACCCCAAGCCTGCTCAAACTGCCTTTCCAAGCAATTCGCTGCTGGCTTGCAGGTTTGTTTCTCTGTTGGTGTCTGTTTGCCTATGAATTATTTGAAATGTGTTTTTATAGAATCTTTTCCACTCATTAACTACACTAAGTAAATATGTATTCTGAATATGTAAGTGTGTATTCTGTATATAATATTGTAAAGGCATTGTACATATGTGTGTGCAGGAGTGGAAGCAGTGGAGAGTCAGTGGAATAAAGAGGCAATACATAAGTTTCAGGCTCTTTGTGCCGGTCAGCCGTTGAGTGGCAGAGTGCTGTCCATCACTGAGAAGGGTTATGGGGTAGAGCTGGAAAGCGCCGGACAAAGCATTGCTGCTGTGCTAATCTTGGAGCACCTGGCTAAACCTTATAGACAGGTGAAACAGCCTCCTGTGCAGCCAGCTAAACCCACCAGTCAGATTGAGGATCTGCCCACCCTTAAACCCATTGATCAGAGTCCACCTTCTGAAGAGCCTTTGAAAGTGAACAACAAGGGAGCTGCCAATGACACAGAAGGTTCAACCTCATCAAGTAAGTTAGCATAACTGATGCTAAAACCTTTTGTATATGTATCTTATCAAGACAGTTTTGTAATTGCTATTACTACTAGTAATATGCAAGTAATTTTTCTTTATTGTTGTTCTTGTGTATGATTAAATGTTTACTGTCATCTAGTCGGCACTTTTCCTTTGAACTGGAAAACATTGGAGCTGTCTTGCACTGATGCTTTCCAACCAAGGGTGGCAGCAGTGATCAGCCCTAGTCTCTTTTACATAATGAATCCTGGACAAGGTGTGCACTCATAGCATAGCATTTAAAGCATAAAGTCTAGCTAGAGCAACTATTATCATTGTTATATTATCATAACTAGCATAGCATGGCCATTTAGAGTAATGATGCTTTACATTCAGCTGATTTTTGTCCCCTCAGTGAATGTGGATGGTCTGAAGGCTGTTATGACTGATGTTGCGAAGTACTGCAGCAAACAGCCAATCCCCAATCAGTGCCACCCTTTACCAGGAGCCGCTTGTTGTGCACAATTCTCAGGTCAGTTTCACCTTCACCTATCGCTTACTCTTACCAGGTTAAATAGATGGAATCATCAACTTTACATGACGTGTAGTGTTATTAATCTGTATGTTAAGTATTTTCAAAGAAGCAGCAGTATTTTATAACTTGTGGTTCCTTTCAAAAGTTTGGGTTCAGTAAGATTTTCTTGCTAAATGTAATTTCTTTCAACAAGGATGAAATAAGTTGATAAAAAACGGCAGTAAAGACATTTACATTGTTACAAGATTTATTGTATTTTTTTCAAATAAATGCTATTGTTTAGCTTTTTTTTTTTTAAGTAAATATTAAGCAGCACATTCCAAAATAACTATTTAAAGTAATAAGTGAGGATTCATTGGTTGAATTCCTAGCTAAGCAAGTAATTCTAGGTCTGAAACTGACACACCTGTAGTCCACAGCTTTTAAACTATAGCTGGAAAAGTGGGTGCACCCATCCACCGTAAAAGTGTCTTTTAAAGTGTTTTTTAATACATTATATATTCTATGCATGATGTTTTAATGTTGTTTTTATGAGAGTTGCGTCGCTTTGTGATGTGGTTTTATGAGAGTGTGTATGATGCTATGTGATGTGGTTGTGCTATAAATATCCCCTAGATCAGGGGTGTCAAACTCAATTCCTGGAGGGCCGGGGGGTTGTTCCAACCCTGCTCCAACACACATACCAAGTAGTTTTCAATTTCTTGGATCAGGTGTGTTTAATTAAGGTTGAATCTAAACTCTGCAGGGCTCTGGCCCTCCAGGAATTCAGTTTGACACCCCTGCCCTAGATGTTCTTTCATAAAGCAGTCAAATTCAACTCTGATTATTCAGGTGACAAAAATTGGTACCGAGCTGTTGTGTTGGAAGTAACAAGCAAGCATGCACATGTAATTTACGCCGATTATGGAAACATGGAGACGGTCCCTGTCTCCAGTATCCTTCCCATCACCAAAGAACTTCTCCAGCATCCATTCCAGATCGTCAGATGTGCACTGGCAGGTAAGCCTAGCACCTGAACTCTAATCTAATCTAAATGTACAAATCATTGCCAATGTTAAAACCCTTGTAGGGCACAGGATAGATTTAGATTTCTTATTTTAGTTGAGTCATGATTGTGACCCTGTTGTTTTTTTTTTCTTCACAGGTAAAGAGAACTTCCCTACAGTGTGGCCCACTGAAGTTTTGGAACTCTTTGGGATTCAGTTGAGCGGGGGCATCCTGGGATCTCTGCAGGGCTTTGATGGGACCTCCAACTTGCTTACCCTTACCCAGCAGTCTGGTCAGACTAGCAGAGACATTAATGCCATTATTCTTGGAGCTCTGCAGAAAGGACAGAGCAAGGCTAACTCAAAGCCACCTGTCATTGCTGCCGAGGAAAAAAAGGATGTAGATCAGAGGCAGACACAAACCGTCAGCTCAATCAAGGCCGCAGATCAACCTCAATCTGCACATGTTGAGAAACCTGACCTGGAATATCAAGCCCCTCCTCTAAGTGCCCGCTACAGGCTTGAGGAACCAGGTGAGAAAATTAAACATTAAGCAAAATTCATGTTGGCAAGATGTGTGGTAATGTAGGTGTTTACAGGGCTTGCACAGGAATTTGCCCAGGATCATTAGCAATAGGGCTGCACGATTATGACAAAAATCATAATTGTCGATTAATTGTAATTGCGATTATTAATTACGATTATCACAATTTACATTGAATGATGTTTATACTAGGGTTGGGTACCGAATCCTATGTAACCGGTATGTACTAGAACCGAATCAGAACGCAGATTTCGGTGCCTCATTTTGGTGCTACTTAAATGCCTGAGCGATCGCTTGAAATATTTGTCCTGGTTCTCCGAAATGGATGTACAACCCTCTACATTGCGAGTAAATCACTCGCATATGTGACTAAATCTTCACTCTGGGCGACTAAATGATGTCTAATATTAGCCAATGGCTAATAAATTCTCAGATTTTACTCGCCAGTGTGTGAGTTGGAGGCTGAGTATAAGTTTAGCTCAGATATATTTTCACTCACAGAACTCTCTGACTGAGCGCATCAGTTTCACTCTCTGCCAAGCGATCTGTGCTGTTTTTCAGTTCATCTGAATGGATGTGCAACGCACCTGTATTTAACGTACCGTGAACTCTAGTGTGAAGGTGCACGACTCGCCGTCGCTTTGTTTCACACACACGCAGCGAGAGAGAGAGAGAGAGAGAGAGAGAATTGACGCGCTACATGTAAACGATATTCTTTGTTGTATTTT